ACACAGCAGAAATATATTCCCCTCCATCTTTGTAAAGGGAAATCTTTTGCAATGTAAATAGCCCTTTTATTGAACTGTAACAGAAGGCCAACAACTAATAAAAATGAAAAGATAGAACAGCAAAGTCTCTTACCCTTAGTTGAATCCAAGTGACAATAGTGGGAAAAGGTAAACCTCATGTGCAAGAATCTTCAAAGAAAAGTGTATCTACCTAAAAACTGCCAACATAATGAAGTAGATGGGGGAAAAAAGTCACGAGTCCTTTTCACAAAGTATTTTTCCCTTGGCAAACCATATAAAAGCTTATATTTTCATTGGATATTTGTGATATATTTTTACATAAGGTTTTTACTCTGAATTCATATAGGCACTGACATGCCTATATGTCACTACACTAAACAATTGTCTACATGCTACTAGAACCTACATATAGATAAACAAAACAGAATACGCAGCAATTAAGTGGCTAATTATATAATTACCTAAGGTATATATCGAACTAAAGCAGCCAGAATCAGAGATTTAATGCTTTGATCCCGAAAATCATCTTGTCTGTATTTCACACAGTTTCAAGCCTATGCTCTAGTTCTGAACCAGTAAGTTTCAGGGAACAGCCTGAAACCTCTTTCAGAGGCTACACTATCAGTTTGGTTTCTGATAACAATTGTTAGAGAAGTGAAGCAGTTCCTGGATTCTGTTTACCCTATAGCACTTGTCCGGTACATACACAAATCTTACAGTGCACTTTTGCTACAGTGCCCAAGGTTTCCTCTTCTCCAGATAAAAAGAACTCATTTCTCTGATCTATTCTTGACAAAGTAGATCAGAGATTAGAAAATGGATTTATTCATTGCTCACAATAGTCAAGAGGAAAAAGGTCAGAAGTGGTGAAGAAAGCAGTTTTTCCTCTGATATAATTCACTTGGCTTTCCAGATAGTAGATGAGCAATGACTGCCCAGGAGCACAGGTAGATGCTTCTATGAAAAGAACCAGCTTGTTCAAAATGATACATAATAGTACCCTATTTTATAGGAATAGAAACCACTTCCTGAATTCAACCTTAACATGGAAGGTAAGAAAAAAATGCTCCTAGGCACACACAGGCTGGTGCGTGGTTAAGTATCATACCGATATGCTAAGACTACCACTTAGCTGCAAGTGCCATAACGAAGTAATTCTATACCTCCTAGTCCTCCCCGCTCCAACAACACAGAGGGTACGCTACTGCTCTCAACAAAGAATAAGGAGGATTCTTTTCCTCAGATTCCCTCCTAAGTCTCTTCAGACACCAAGCTGATCTCCAAAAAGAGAAAAACAGTTGTTACTTATAAACCACTCTCTGCCACTGAATTTTACCTGCTACAAACACTAAGGATTACGAGTTTCAGGAGCTGTTATTTTCATTGCTGAAGACACTTAAAGTTCATAAAAATTAACATTCTTCTAAACACAAGAAGCAACAAACAGGCAGAGTGTTTCCAGGGCACTGAGATTATAGTTCAGGAAATCCAGGTCTATCCTACTAAAAAAGACAGTGACTGCACAAGGACAGAAAACATGTATTTTTGAACTTTGTGCAATAGTCTCGTGCAGGACTCTAGCAGGAACAACAGCAGCATTCTCCTCCGCTCCTTCCCAGGGGCAACTAGGTATTATCTGCATCTTTCTGTATTTCAGAAGCTTCTTCAAAATAAGATGCTGTACCTTTGCTTGTTATATTCAGTTAAGCAGTTTTGTACACAGCAAATTCTCCCAAACCATATAATACGGTGGCCTTATGAGCAAGAGCCAGCTTTAGACTGCATAAGGAAAATAATCAGATTATATTCACTTAGTTCACATGGATCTACTTTAATGTGATGAGCACTGACTTGACAAATATGTCCGAGTGTATTTTATAAACACAACTGTGTTCATGCATCTGTGTACTATATAATTTTTAACGGTACTTAAGAGCTCAGAAGTGCTCCAGATACTAAGAGCAATTTTTTTAATGTTTCCTCTGTCCAAAAAGGGAACCCGTGTATGCGCAGGCAAAGTCTGTCCAAGTAAAGTTCACTTATGCAATATTTCTTCTGCAAATAATGAATTCTTGGCCTTGATCACAGGTATTCACCATTTTCTTTCTGCAACTCAGTGTTCAGACAAATGCTCGCACAAAAACCTTTGCATCAAGAGTTCATTTCGCATCTCCTGCCCTCAACACAAGGCCTGGAGCCTCTTTAACCAATGGGAGTTTGATGCAAGGTCGAACGCTAAGACATCTGTGCTGCACTTTCTGACAGTTTTCTTTTAAATGGATGGTTAAGTGGAGTAGGAACGTTTCCTTAAATCAAGTGAACTTGAAATATACTTATAGTCCTTCCTGAATACAACTTGAAATAGAAATGTCAGTTTCCAGGCCTTGATAGAATGATACAATTCTACAAAGAAAAAACCCTGTGTATGAAAAATATACTAACAAATTTCAAGAGTAAAAATAGATGTTATTCTTTCCCTCTAAGTCTAGATCTCGAACCGAATAAACTGTTGTTTTCTTCTTCTAACATATGGAGGGGAAGGCATGCTTCTTCATGCTGAAGTGGCAGCTGCAGCATCTGTAAGGAACATCCACGAATTCCATTTTTCTATATAAACTAAAAATTCAGTGACTTCAATTTCCTAAGCACATCTACTCAAAACCTTAATCTTTTTTCCTCATAATACACTAACACTCTTCTGTTGAACCAAATCTACATTCAAGTATCAGAAAAACAGTATTACACATAGTGAAAATTAAGCCTGTAAGCAAAGGCATAAACAAACCCCTGTTATGTATCCTGTTTTCCTATAGCCCTTACACTTCTGAAAATGATATCAATAAATTCACATCTATTCTGGTATGAATTTCAGTAAGCTAGAAGAACAGGTGAGAATGGCAGAAAATACTACAATACTACGGCTTTTCCAGTACTTCTGCAGTACTATATCACATGCCACGTATTCTTCAATTATTTGCCAGCAAATAACTGAATTTCCTAGTTAGCAAGTTTAGACATTTATTTAGGCATATTTCTACTCATCTTAAAGGTATTATTATCCAAGATCTAACAAAGTCAGTGAAGAGTTCATAAAAGTCTTCAGAGTAAAACAAGTGCTAAATAACTTAGTCATAACAAGGTGAAAGTAAGACTGAAATGAAATGCAAAGGTTAAACAGTGCTTTCCACATTTAGGAACAAAGCAGGTGGCAGCTTTTTTATTTTTTTCAATGTTTTCTTCTTTTAATTTGATTTCTGCAACTAACACACAGGCAGGGAAGCATAGGGAATATCAGAATTTTTTGCTCTCACTGGCACAGGATTTTCCCTTCATTACAACATTACCTATAATTTCTATTTGATTATTATAATTACAAGTCACAGAAAATGCATTACATAGCAAGACATTCCGGAAGATACTAATATCCTAAGAATTTGACTGTAAGCGTCACAAGACCTTTGTTTTCTCATTAAAAAAAAAAAATCATACTAATGTACACTTTTTCACTGCCTGGAACATGTACATATAGACAACATGAGATCTTGTGACAGGCAGTGTTAATCGAATTTTCCATGATACGGTCTCAATAACTTAAAAAAAAAAAAAATCACATTACCACATCTCATGATGCTCTTAAACCTCTTTAGCACAAAGTAAAACATCAGGTCCATGGGCTGGCATTTCTCATTCTCCTGCTCTTTCCTTGGTGACCTAATCTGCTACAGTGCTAAAAGCTCTTAAGAGATTTTTCCAAAATGTAGAAACTAGTTGGCATTAGAAACCACCATCTCCCCATGATTCCAGAGCACCAAATTCCCTAACTCCAGGATATTCACCTTGTTCACCTATTCCTCTTTCAGGACGCTCAGATTCATAGCAACCCAAAAAACACAAAGGTGCTTTCCCCCAGCCTTTGACTGCAGAGAAAAGAGCATTACTACCTAAACAGAAAGAAAGGAGAAATACAACTTGACTCCAATCACCCTAATTTGGTCTCTGTTTAGCATATAGATAGCAATGCTTCAGAGAAGAGATAGGGAGAAGTTGGATGAAAACAGAGACACAGCAGGGCCAGATGACACACCACAGTAGGGCAAAAGGCTACATAATGAACTCCATACAGTACTCAAGATCTATCATACTGCATAAAGCACCTACAGTTGCAATATTGCTGAGGTGTTCTGCAATTTAAACTCCAAGACTGATTACCTCAGCCTTCTGCTAACTGTCCTCTCAAAGGACTAACTTTGCCAATACCAATGTCCCTATGCCTACCTCAACGCACCCTGATGTTAGCGGGGTTCCAG